AAAAAAAAAAAAAAAAAAAAAAAGCATGGATGGCAATTTCAAGCGGCTTCTAAGAGGAAATGACTACAGCACATATTTTAGAAAAGGACATTGGAGTGAGGTTTGGTGGGTAAAATAAAGTGAGAAGAACAAAGAAAATCTGCATGAGAAAATCAGTGGGCTCTGGCCTTTTCTCACAAAAAAGGCCAGTATGACACCCTGTGATTTGGTTCCCTAATCATTTAGAAACAAGTTATTTTTCCTTATATTATCTCAGCAATGAATCTGGCAATGGGATATACATGTAACAAGACTGTTTGTATACTGACAAGTATTGAAGATGAGCTGGACATTTCACAGTTCATTTCAATATTTTCATTGTATATATATTTGAAATTTCCCACAATAAAGAGTCAAATAAATACATACATAAAATTGGCAGTGATTGTTCTGAACTAGCTATGTAACTTTGGCCAAGTCAACTAACTTCCTTGAGCTCAGTTTCCCTGATTGAGCTGAGAGGACACGAAAATAAAGTGCTACGATGGTAGCCAAAGCAGTTAGGAACGTACTTGGCTCCATCTGATACTGGCCTCCAGAAACCTTACATTTCTTTCTAGTTGGTACTCTTCTTCTTGAACAGTTATCAACATATAAGTCCTATTTTCTCTGCTACTTTAGAGAACCTCTTGCCATTTACCCTGGATTTTGAAAAGCTTCACCCTGGTCCCATATATACAGATCTCTTGAAGACAACAAAATTTTTTCATCCCTTCCTAAGAGGAGACAAAGTGGCCTGGATCAATGAATTTGCAAGGTTTATCTTTTTAAATGCAAATAACCCTCTCCTCCAAGTCAGTCCTACAGGGATAATTTCCTTCCCTCAGTTAAGAGGAAACTTGACATTCTCTATATTCTTCTACCCTAGGAGACTATTGCTTGGCAGAACAAGCAATAAAGAAATGCAACAGTGAATTGTGCTGCCATAAACATTCGGGTGCAGATGTCTTTATTATAGAATGTTTTTGCTCTTTTGGGTAGATGCCTAATAGTGCTATTGCTGGATCGAATGGTATTTCTATTTTTAGCTCTTTGAGGTATCTCCAAATTCTTTTCCACAGAGGTTGCACTAATTTGCAGTCCCACCAGCAGTGTGAAAGTGTTCCTGTCTCTCCACATCCTCGCCAGCATTTGCTGTTTTGGGATTTTTTGATAGAGGCCAATCTCACTGGGGTTAGGTGATGTCTCACTGTGGTTTTCATTTGCATTTCTCTAATGATTAGAGATGTTGAGCATTTTTTTTATATGTTTACTGGCCATTATTCTGTCTTCTTTTGAAAAGTTTCTGTTCATTTCCTTTGCCCATTTGTTAATGGGACTGTTTGATTCTTTCTTGTTGATCTTTTTGAGTTCTAGATAGACTGTTGTTATCAGCCCTTTATCAGATGTGTAGAGAGCAAATATTTTCACCCATTCTGTAGGCTCTCTATTCGCTCTATTGATAGTTTCCTTGGAGGTGCAAAAGCTTTTTAATTTGCTGAGATCCCATTTATTTATTTTTGTTGCTGCTGTGATTGCTTTGGGGGTCCTCTTCAAAAATTCTTTGCCTAGGCCAATGTCTGAAAGGGTCTTCCCAACATCTTCTTCTAGAATTCTTAAGGTTTCATGTCTTAGGTTTAAGTCTGTTATCCATCTTGAATTGATTTTTGTGAGAGGTGAGAGGTGGGGATCCAGTTTCAATCTTCTACATGTAGCTATCCAGTTTTCCCAGCACCATTTATTGAAAAGAGATTCTTTTCCCCAGTGTATATTTTTGTCTGTTTTGTCAAAGATTAGATTACCATATGCGGATGGTTTCATCTCTGGATTCTCAGTCCTGTTCCAAAGGTCTATATCTCTGTTCTGTGCCAAAACCATGCTGTTTTAATTACTATAGCCTTGTAGTGCAGCTTGAAGTCTCGAAGTCCCAGTTTGTTCTTTTTACTTAAGATTTCTTTGGCTATACGAGGTCTTCTCTGGTTCCATACAAAGCGTAGAATTATTTTTTTTAGATCTGTAAAGAATGATGATGGTATTTTGATAGGGACTGCATTAATTCTGTAGATCACTTTAGGTAGTATGGACATTTTAACGATATTGATTCTACCAATCCATGAGCAAGGTAGATTTTTCCATCTGTTTATATCTTCTACAATTTCTTTTCTTAGTGTTTCGTAGTTCTCCCTGTATATGTCTCTCACATCTTTTGTTAAATATATTCCTAGATATTTAATTTTCTTTGAGGCAATTGTAAAAGGTATTGCGTTTTTGATTTGAATTTCGGCTTGACTGTTATTGGTGTATACGAATGCCTCTGATTTGTGTGTATTAATTTTGTATCCTGAGACTTTACTGAATTTATTTATCAATTCTAGGAGTCTCTTGGTTGAATCCTTGGGGTTTTCTAGATATAATATCACATCATCAGCAAAGAGCGAGAGTTTGATCTCATCTGCCCCCATTTGGACGCCCTTAATTCCCCTCTCTTGTCTAATTGCTCTAGCAAGGACTTCCAGCATTATGTTGAATAGAAGTGGAGACAGTGGGCAGGCTTGTGTGGTTCCAGTTCTAAGTGGGAATGGTTTCAATTTTTCCCTATTCAGTATGATATTGGCCATGGGTTTATCATAAATGGACTTGATAATTTTAAGATATGGCCCATCTGTGCCTATTTTGTTAAGAGTTTTTATCATAAACGTGTGCTGGACTTTGTCAAATGCTTTTTCTGCATCTATTGAGAGAATCATATGGTCTTTGTTCTTACTTTTATTTATGAGGTAAATTGCATTTATAGATTTGCATATGTTGAACCAGCCTTGCATCCCTGGAATAAAGCCCACCTGGTCATGATGAATTATTTTTTTGATATGCTGCTGAATTCATTCGATTTGCTAAAATTTTGTTGAGGATTTTTGCATCTGTATTCATGAGGGATACTGGTCTGCAGTTTTTTTTGTTGTTGTTGTGTCCTTTCCTGGCTTTGGTATCAAGGTGATATTGGCTTCGTAGAATGAGTTAGGAAGGATACCATCTTCCTCAATGTTGTGGAATAATTTCTGTAGTATAGGTATGAGTTCTTCTTTGCATGTTTGATAAAACTCTGAAGTATAGCCATCTGGTCCAGGACTTTTCCGTTTTGGGAGGTTTTTAATTGCTGCTCCAATTTCTGAGCTTGAGATTGGTCTATTCAGAAATTCTATTACCTCCTGGGTGAACTTAAGGAGGTTGTATGTTTCCATGAATTTGTCCATTTCCTCCTCATTATGTAGTTTTTGGGCATATAGGTTTTTATAGTAATCGAAAATATGTTTTGTATTTCCATGGTGTCTGTTTTGACCTCTTTTTCATTTCTAATTGAGTTTATTAAAGTCCTTTCCCTTCAAATTCTTGACAATTTCACAAGAGGGGTGTCAGTTTTGTTTATCTTTTCAAAAAACCAGCTTTTGGTTTTGTTGATCTTCCATATAGTTCTTTTGTTCTCAATTTCATTTAGTTCTGCTTTGATCTTAGTTATTTCTTTTCTTCTACTACGTTTGGAAATGATTTGCTCTTCCTTTTCCAATTACTTGAGACTATTTGTTAAATTGTTGATTTTTGACCTTTGATTTTTTTGGATGTGAGCATTTAATGCTATTAGTTTTCCTCCCAGGTATGCTTTTGTTGTATCCCACAGGTTTTGATAATTAGTGTCTCCGTTATCATTTAGTTCGAAAACAACCCAACTGGCTGTCAATTCATGAGTGGATTATTAAAATTTGGTATATGTATACAATGGAATATTACTCAATTATAAGAAATAATAGTGATCTAGCACCTCTTATATTTTCCTGGATAGAGCTTGAGCCCATTATCCAAAGTGAGGTATCACAAGATTAGAAGAATGAGCTCCACATGTACTCACCATCAAATTGGCACTGACTGATCAACACTATGGTGCTCACATGGTAGTAATATTCTCCAGGGATTAGGGGTTTGGGAGGGAGGGGTAAACTTACAACTAATGGACGTGGTGAGCATTGTAGAGGGGAAGGGTATGCCTCTAATCCTAGCTTGGACAAGGCAAAGACATAAAATGTAACCAAAATGTTTGTACCCTCATAATATCCTGAAATAAAAAAGAAAAGAAAAGAAAAGAAAAGAAATGCAGCTACCCCGTAGCATACCAGTTCTCCTTTCATTCTTACCTTCTCCACATGAAGAGCTGAGTGGGGACTGAGCCACCGGATGTCTTTCACAAATTGCCAGTAATCAGTCTGGTGGCAGCACACCTGCTAAGGGAACACACAAAGCGAGCAAATCACTATCATTTTGGACCAAATCTAGTTCTATGTTGACATTCAAAGAGAGAAAAAAGAGCATAACCTTCCCTTGCTTCAACAAAGGTTCTCAGCAGCAATCAAATGGAAACATACACATGTTCACTCTTTTAAAAAATAATTGTTGGCCGGGCGTGGTGGCTCACGCCTGTAATCCTAGCACTCTGGGAGGCCGAGGCAGGCAAATTGTTTGAGCTCAGGAGCTGGAAACCAGCCTGAGCAAGAGCAAGACCCCGTCTCTACTAAAAATAGAAAGAAATTAATCAGACAACTAAAAATACATAGAAAAAATTAGCCGGGC